TTTCCCAGAAGATGACAAGAACGCTGGACCTCTGCAAACTTCTTGATCTCCAATCTGTTGAATACTGAATGACTTACTGATGACACCATAGTGAAGAGATGAGGAAAGTTGTGATGGAGAAATCAAAGTCCTCATGAAGGAAAGGCAGTGAGAAGATGGCGCAGTAACAAGGATCCAGAGGATGCTAACGCAGGAGCCAGGGATGGCTACTGAACTGACCTAAGAATTTTGAGTAGAACTGTGACATAGGCTTTCCTGCTAGAATTCTGAAAGCACAAGGAATCTATGGCTTGATGCATCTCCAACTGCCCTCTCATGGTCCATGGTCATTAGGAGGAAAAGGAAGAAATCTAAAGATGGACCAGGGATCATTTTTTTCCACAGATGCTGCCTTCCACACTGTGCGAAAACATCATCGTCTCATCTCTTGAGCATGACTTATTTCCATTTTTTATTTCTGTTACTTCTATTCCAAGATCTGCCTCCAGCTGCCTGTCTGCCACCTTGGAATACTTTGGTATCCTTATTCAACTCCCAACTCTGGTTCCCTGATCTTCTCTCCTTCCCTGGGGTCTCTAGGCACCCTCCCTCTAGGGGTTCTGCTTTATAACCTTTTATCTGGGGTCCTCAGTGTCTTTTTTTCCCCAAAGTAATACTATGCCTGGACTCCCAGCCTCACCTGTCCTTTCTCTCCTAGGTTTCTGTTTGCTCCCTTCTTTTCAGAGTCTCAGAATCTATAGAAACTGATGGTGGCTCATTATCTCTCTCTGGTTCCAGCAGTGCCTAGTGACTGCCTAGTGGAGCCTGATCAGTGGCTCAGAAAAGCAAAAACCTCAGCCATTTACCAGTGGCTCACAGGAGCAGAACAGAACAGAATCCACCACCTACCACGGGGAGCAGGTAAACAAGCTTTTGCCATTGAATGGACAGCATCAGTGTATCTTTCTCACCAGCTGGACTCTCCCTGTTGTACTCATCATGATAGATGCTCTGCCTGAGAGCTGGAAGTAGTTAAGGAAACAAAGAGGGGAATGGAGGGTGTCCTTGGGTACCTTCGAGCCGGGACTAGAGGAGCATTTTTGGAAGAGTCTGAAGAACTTATCATTGGCCAAAAAGAAAAGATGAGGAGATTCTTGGGTTTCTTGTCCTTGTCCTAAGGCAATGTTGAGGATCCAAATAGGGGGTTCCAGCACTCTCCTGGAAGCCCCTCTCCCTGCCACCACCAATTGTGACTTCTTTGACTACTCAGGGTCATCATTTTGTATTATAATTTCCTTTTTATCAACTGGTTTCCTTATCAGACTCAGATTTACCTATGGAAGTGTATCTTGTTCATTGCTGTTTCTTTAGTATTCAACACATAGCTTAATGTGTAATAGGCTCTCAGTTAGTATGTGTTGAGTGAAAGATACATGGACCAAATGATGGATACCATAATCCATAATTCATATCCTGATACTGCATTGAGGAAGAGTTCAATGTTACAGACCACTTAATTAAAAATCTGCTAATTGAGTTGTAAGAGAATGATCAACTTTGCTCTTAATTAGAGTTTATTTATTCAGCATCTACTATATGTCAGGTTAAAATTATTAGAACAAATTTGAAATGTACAAATGTTGTGAATGTGGAAACAGTGGAACATTTGAAAAGTTTATATCAAAACCTTTCTAGGACTTATGGACAGGAAGCAAAGATGTGATGGGCTTTTCTGGAAAGAATCATGTGAGTAGTACACCCAACTTCCCGGGTAAATTTGATCAAGAAACTATCTTCAGAATAGGGTTTGCTGGGGCCAATAGATGGCATAGTAGTAGAGGTGCAAGACTACTATGTGGCCAATCCCAGTTTGAGTTCTGGCGCAAGACTACTATGTGGCCAATCCCAGTTTGATTTCTGGCCTTGGTAACTTGCTTTCTCTCTCTCTCTCTGGGGAATTAAAATAATAATAATAAATTAAATAATTTTAAAAAAAGAATAGGGTTGGTTGGAGAAGATCAGTTCTACAACCCTGTTCTATTTACAACCCCCTGTAAGGGGAACATGGAAAAATACTCAGAATAGTGTATCTTCAACCATTAGTATATCCTACCCCCTTGCTCATTCACTCATACACACCCTATAGGCAAATGCACATGTATTTTCACACTTACACAAAGGCATACACACTCACGAAAACATTTGTACACATCTTGACTTGGCATACATGTTCACACAGACCTCAAAGGTATATGTGTAAAAATTGATGCATGCTCACATACATTTGCATCCTTGGAAAAATGCTCATGTGAAGACACACATTCACGGGGCTGGCAGGTTGCATGGTGGTTAGTGGTGCTGGACACCCAATGGCCAACCGTGGTTCAAGTCCTGGACCTAGTGGCTTACTTTCTCCTTACTTTCTCACTTTCCCTCTCTCTTTCTCTCTCTGTCCCTCTCTGGTCAAGTTTAAATAAATAAATAAATAAATAAATAAATAAATAAATAAATAAATAAACAAACCTAAATAAAATAACTAAAAAGAAAAACACACACATTCACTCAGACACACACCTTAGCACTCATAGATGTCTAGGCATGAAATAAATTAATTAATAAATTAATTAATTAAATAACTAAAAAGAAAAACACACACATTTACTAAGACACACACTTTGGCATTCATGGATGTCTAGGCATATAGACATTCATCTATATAGGAAGCTACGTGTTGTAACATCACATATATATATATACTTCTGCCATCTCACCTATGGGTACATGGACATATGCTCACACACTTTCTTCTACTCACTATAGCACATAGACATGTAATTCATATATGCAACATATACCTGCAGGTCTTTGAAAACTCTGTGGAAATTCAGAACCTGCAGATGGTATAATGGTTATGTTGCTGGACTCCCATGCAGTTGACTGCAGTTCAAGTCCTGGACCCAATGGCTTCAAACTCACACCAGGCATGTATGCATACACGTCCAAAATCCCGAGAGAAGAATGGAGGAGAAGGGATTGCGTCATGGCCATCTCCCCTGGGGGATGAGGCAAGTGATGTCTCCCTTTCTGTCACTCTGTCTTGCCTTATGGCAAAAAAAAACTCTCTAAAAAAAGTAAATAAATAAAAAGAAGGCAAAAAAGAGAAAAGTTTCTGGAAATTCATATTATTAAAAATAATGCATGGAGCTGAAAACTTTTTGGCACCAAAATAAACTTGCATTTAATTTTCAACAAAGTTTTTGAAGTCCTTTGTATCCGCATTTATTTTCTTATACATACTTAGTCTTATGCATACTCAGACACACTTTTACACTTAACAGAGAGGCTTGCATACTCTTAGAGAGATTTGCATGACTTCTTTTCAAATTTTGTTTTTAATTTAGATTCCATCATTGTGCATCTCTATAGCACACAATGTGTTTTTTCAACATATGCATGCAGTACATGACAATCAAATCAGGGATATTGCCATGTACATCATCTCAACAGAGAACTTTACTTTCTTTCAACTGTTAAGTGTTTCTTCCCTTTCCCTTCCCATCCTCTGCCATCTACTCCCCTCCTTTTGTCTCTAGTATCTACATTTATCCTCTCTACTAATATCTTCAGATCTTTCCATTTATGCTACAGAGGCAGACATTCAGGAAGCCCCGTCTGCTCTTGTGATGCTTACATTACAGTGTGGGAGGAAGACAGCAAACAAATGAAGAGAATAATTGCAGATAACAGTGAGAGCCAAGAAGAACATAATACAAGGGGAGATAGCTAGTGACAGGAAGGCCTACTCCTGATAGGATCATCAGGGTCAACTTCTCTGTAAATAAAATTTGAGTCCAGATTCAAAGGGCTAGAAGGAACCAACCAGATGATCATGAAGGAGAAAAGTGCCCCAGACAAAAGGAACAGCAAGCACCAAGGCTCTAAAGTGGGAATGAGCCAGGAAACATCAAGAAATAAAACGAAGCTGGATGGTGGTGAGCCAGCGATGCTGAGCTAAGTTATGACATACATGAGAAAACCAGGGTCAAAGCGAGAATGCAAGGATATGAAGTTTGATCTTTTCTAAGTACAGAGAAAATATTGAATAGTTTTTAAAGGTGAATAGCAAGATCTAATTTTACTTTTAAAAGATCACTCTGGGGCCAGTAAGTGGCATGGAAATTAAGGAGGGTGAAGCCCTACATGACTGGCTCTGTGGCTTGAGTTCTGGACCCAGTGGCTTGAAAATTATTCTGGGTGCATGTGTTTGCGTGCCCAAAACACTGAGAGGAGCATGGAGGAGAAGGGATTGAAG